CTCCATAGAACCCCAGAGTTCTGCAGAGGGGTCTCCGATGTTGCCGAAAGGGTTGGGGGAAAGGGCAGGGCTGTTCTCACCCCTCTGTTATATGATGGGTTTGTGCAGACAAATTCATCGGAGAAAAGGCTTCTGCTAACCAGAAGTTTGAAAACCACTGTCATAGTCCAAACTTCTTTTGGGAGGCTAACTACTCCCCTCCCTTAGTCTGTTCAATGTCCCCGAGCCTCTGCTGCCCCCATCTCTCCCGCAGGCAGATGCAGTGACTGGAGAGGAACCAGAGCTAGGCCTCTGGCTTTTTGCTTGCATGGACTCTGCAATGTCTGCCACCCTTACCCCTGCTGCTTCTCTTGTCCCAGTTTCTATTTCATTCTTAGTATTTCTTCTCTCTTTAGGACTGAAGTATTTATTCAGTCAACAAATATTCTTGCACTGTTCTGAATACTCACCCACATTTTGTTAAAAATTTTAAGTATGCCTTCTTATTTCAAGGAGAATGTTAAAGTTATTTTTATCATTCTAATTGCCAGGGGAGGTATATTAGATAGGACAGGCATGGTAATAATGAATAAGTAAATGAATTAAAATGTTCTGTACTTTTCTTTTTTAAAATATATATTTTTTATTGATTTCTGAGAGGAAGGGAGAGGGAGATATAGAAACATCAATGATGAGAGAATCATTGATCGGCTGTCTCCTGCACACCCCCTACTGGGGACCAGGCCAGAACCCAGGCATGTGACCAGGAATCAAACCATGACCTCCTGGTTCATAGTTCGATACTAAACCACTGGGCCACACCAGCTGGGCTGTTCTTTACTTTTCTTACTTATTATTCCTCTTAACTACCTGACTCTGAGGACTGGGGTAGGAGGGAAAGCAAGAACTCAAAAAGTCTTTCTCAGACATGGATGCACAGGTAATAATACTTATAATAATTACTAGAGGCCCAATGCATGAAATTCGTGCACTCAGGAGGGTCCCTCAGCCCGGCCTGTGCCCTCTCACAGTCCAGGAGCCCTCAGGGGATGTCCAAATGACGGCTTAGGCCCACTCCCCTAAGCCAGCAGTCGGACATCCTTAGTGTTGCTGTGGTGGGAGAGGCTCCCGCCAGGGCAGCTGCGCTCGCCAGTCGTGAGCCTGGCTCAGGGCTTCTGTGGGAGCGCACTGACCACCAGGGGGCAGCTCCTGCATTGAGCATCTGCCCCCTGGTGGTCAGTACACGTCATAGCGACCGGTCATTCTGCCCTTCGGTCAATTTGCATATCACCCTTTTATTGTATAGGATTACTGCACAGATAATAACACTTATGATGATAATAATATTAATAATAATAAATGGCTGGCACTGTTCTTAGCATTTTACACATATTAATTCATTTATCTTCATAAAAGCCCTACATAGAATGTTCTGTTAGTACTCCATAGATGAGGAAACAGAAGCTCAGAGGGGTTAAGTAGTTTGCCCCATATACACAACTGACAGTGTCTTGCAACTTGGAGCACTCACTGGCATTTACCCTAAGGCCCTTCACAATCTAAATTCGGTCCACATTTGCAGTCTGATCCTCTCCTCTTTTGGATTCTACTTCTTGCTGCTCTCACAACAAACTCTCCTCATACCCATGAACATCCCTCCTTTACTATTCCCCATTCTATCTTTACCTCCTTAAATCTGTGAAGGATGCTCAAATGCAGAAAGTCTTCCCTGACCCCCACCAAGCTGAAATGCCTCTCTTCTGCCACTGTGTTCCCCAAGCATCCCACCAGGCATCCCTGTGTGTGTGTGTGTGTGTGTGTGTGTGTCTGCCTTTCTGTCTGGCTTCTGCTCTGAGCAATAAGCTTCCTGAGGACAGGGCTTTGTCTCCGGGAATTCCTTGTTGAAGCAGGAGCACAAGGAATGTTGGTGAAACAGGCAGAAGGAGTTGAGCGCTATTGGCAATCACCAGGGCAAGTAAGCGCACGTATTAAAAAACAATTACTCCCTTCATTCTCAGGTCCTTGGCTCTCCCGGGGATTTGAGTTGGGAACAAGAAGTCAGCCCTAGACAAATGTCTGAGACTCTGTAAGGTGGGGTCACTTGACTAGTTAGCGGTGGAGCCACATTCTCTAGGGGTCTCCTGGTCCTCTCCACTCTATACCCTCTTCCTCCAATACCCCTGGGTTATGGCTCCCCCCTCCACTGAAGACCGCAGGACCCCCAACCCCAGCCAAGCAGAGGACCCAGGAACACGGGAGTGGGTCGTACGGGAAATTGGAGCTCCCACCCACTTCAGTCTTGATGTTCTGCCCTGATTACGCCTCCAATATGACTCCCTGAGAGAGGGGGGGCATGTGGAGACGGAGGGAGCCGGGGAAGAGAGGTACCAGGGAGGACAGGGAAAGGCAGGCAGAAGGAATGATGTGTGTGGCAGGAGGTGGCAAGAGGTAGTGGTGGCTTGACCTCGGCTGCTCTGGACTCTCCGCCAGGGCCGGGAAGGGTCCGAGTCTGGGCGGTGGAGGACAACTTCTGCCAGCAGCCCGCGGGTCCTGTCCGCCTCCCGCGCGCTGCGGTGC